GATCTATCGAACATGACAAGTGTTTTTCTTAATCTGAGGACGCTTAGGACTGCGGCAAATTTTTTACTGACTAAAGAAGCCTTTCAGGATGCAATTACCCTAACTTCGAAGGGCGCAGAAGATTATCAGGTTAACACCTAGCCTGCAGACATACCTAAGGAGTTATACATTCGTATTTCGTTCTTTGGCAATACGCCAAGAATGATCCGCTATGCTAATCGTAGCGACGTATCCGTAAGATAACTGCAGGTGGCAAGCGCACTACCGTAAAAATGTGCCTTGCAGGCTCCTCGAATACCACGGGTAAATAAGTTCACGTCTTTACTGTCTTTACACGAAAGCTGATCGTAGCGACGTATCCGTAAGATAAGTGCGAGGTGACAAGCGCACTACCGTAAAAATGTGTCTTGCAGGCTCCTCGAATACCACGGGTAAATAAGTTCACGTCTTTACTGTCTTTACATGAAAGCTGCCCTGCAATATTCGTACGGCTATGCAGCATTTGCCAAAACGGAACCTTATATCTACTCTACCTTGTCATCCGTTAAATCACAGCCATTGTTTAGAATGTAAAAATAGGCGTATTTTACTTTGCTATTAAGCACATACACAATGCATATCAGGCTCAGGAAGTATGAATCGTTCGCTGCTATATCTGACTTCGCTGTTGTACGACTACATTTGAGGTCCTAATTGTGCAAGAAAAAAATTTTGAACACTTGTGCACCTGATTTATTCTTGAAATTATCCAATAAGTAGCCAAGTACCTAGCATTCTGCTTTTGAGCCTTGCACTAACCCAATATAGTCGCATGAACAGCGCGGGCAACGAAGGAACAGCGGTCATTACGTGACGCGGCAAAATGCGCATTAGCGATAGTCAACGCTCGTACAGCAGAGCTGTGTCGTGCAGACTCATGCAAGGCAACCTCAGTAGCTTATTGCGCTTTGTCTTCGAATACGATACGAATGAGTTGAGCGAAGAAATATGCGTTGGTTGAAGCGTACCACGACATTTCTTCCTACATAAAAGAAATGAAAATACAGACTCTTTCGGAGTATTTATGCCAGAAATGTTCTGAACATCCATTCAAATATTATTTAACTGGAAACTCCCATGGAAAGTTTGGAAACGATTGGTTTAATAGGCTAGAAGCTCTTGTACCAAAAGAAAAAGTCGAAAAGAGAAGAGCACAAGTTACATAATTACTTGCTTCAGATAATGTGAATGACAATAAACAAGAAGATGCATCATAACTATGCAGCGTTACCTTCAGGGATTGCGATGCTTTATGACATTACTTCACTAAGAGAAGTAGTACATCTCTATCGACCAAAATGTTGAACCCTGGATCTCTATGCAAGCTGGAAACCTGGGACGAGTTCTTCGTACCCGCGCGCTGCAAAAATGGCAGCCGCGCGGATGTATGTCGAGTGGCGCGATTTTGGCTGTCATTAAGATCACATCCGCAGTGGTCTCCATATCATATGGAATTTTCAAATTGTAATCTGTATTACCTTCCATAATAAAGGACGTACAAGGTGTCTACCTTGAATCAAAATCATAACAAAAGAGAACCAGTCAAAGATATGAAGCTGCAAATTAGAAAATTTTAAAGGAAGGGATCTGGGGTTTTTCTCTGTAGCTTCCAAAAATTACTCAACAGCTTTCATACTGCCCATATACTATCATCTATCTGATATATCATTATAACTATTTTGT